GAATGTTGAAAACGTGGCGTTTGAGTCTTAAGATTCCACATTTCAAGTCAGTGCCTTAGGAACCACTGCTCGACACGGGCAGAGTTGAAGAATTCTGCCTTTTGCGTTCTTCTAACCATGACGATCTCCCCCTAAAATAGGAATTCTAAATATTTTTGCTCAGGAATTCTACGTGTGATTGCTTTTGCTCACTTATCCACTTAATTATGTTTCTCCTTGATCGGAGAAAAAGAGAAAAATGGCAGAATTTCTTCTCTGCAGATGAGGAACTAACAGTAAAATCTTGGCTATTTTTCACCCTTTTCCAAAATTCCGAGATGGTCCATATTGAGTTTGTGCATTTCTCAGAAGTTAAAACCCAGTGGCCCATGAAGTACAGTTGGTCCATAGAGGCGTGGCCCCTTTTCTACTAACTTTAAAATAAAAAAAAAAAATTAGTCGCTGACATTTAAAAGTTAAGATAGTTCAAATAAAAGTCCGTATTTCTAGTTTCTCTTTAAAAATGGGAAGCTAGGAAGGCATGTGACCCACGTCTCCACGTGGTGGCCACGTGCTCGACTGGAGTGGCAGCTATTCCCTGGGGAAGGGCACACGCTGACATCCTCACCTTTCCTCTTGACATTACACACCTGGCTGGCTTGGAGGTTCGCTGACGTTCCCACATGCGTCTCTGCCTGACGCATTTGGAGAGAGGCGGAGGGCAGGGGCTGTGTGAACGCAGCAGCCAGGTGCAGGACGAAGTGCTGGGACTGACAGTTTGGGTCCTGCCCAGTGACCTTGGAGGTGGAGCCGATGAACCGCAAGACTCGGGTCACGATGGGGAGTTTTCTCGGTTTCAATCTATCTTGAGTGCCGTAGAAGTGGTGAAGCAAGATCCGAACAGATTGATCAAATGAGAAGTAGGAAGAACAGAAGGTGGAGAGAGACGGGCTTTGTGGTTAGTCGAGTGGTAGAAGCGTCAATGAAATTCACTTTTCAAGTTCAATCCTTGCTATTGACACAGCATTCTCCCCAAGGTAATTTAATCAGCTTGTAACAAGCGTTAAGTTAGAGCGGCGGTAACAGTCATCGATGCTGTTCGAACGTTAGCTTGCCTCTTTTCCTCCAGGCACAGAGTGAGATTGTATTTCTCTGCTGGGTTGAACTTGGGCAGAGCCATGTGACTGGTTTGGGCTGATGACACACAAGGGTGAGCGACGTGTCCCACAGTGGGCCAGAGCTTTAAGAGCCCATGGGTGTGCAGCCACCCTTTTTTCTATCTGCAACTCCCCCAGCCTTGGCTTCAGAGGGAGACAAAGCCACCAGCAGACCCATGACGGGCATGCAGGGTGAAGGGGGAATGGCCCTCTGCTGCTTTAAGCCACTGTGGAGTGTCGGTTACGGGAGCAAAGCGTGACCTCTTCTAGATGGATCTACCATACTGCCCTAACTTCGCTCATTCAGCCTGTTTGGCTTGTCTATGATCCACATTATTTTTAAAATACTTGTCCTTTATATTATTCTTAAATTAAACCTTTTAAAAATATAGGCTTATTCTAAGCAATACGTGGTCCATGCTAATTATATTTTGATTATGTTTTAATACCCATCAAAGTAAATACATAACTATTAAAGATAATGTTGCATATCACATTCTGGGAACACAGAGGTAAAACGGGAAGAGAACCATTTTGATGCTGAAGGCTGCAAAATAAGAAACTGTGCTCTCAAGTTTCAGGTTTAGCTTCAAATGTGAACGTCATGCCAATATTTAGTGAACTACAACTGCTTTCTCGATATGACAGAAATCAGGAAGGAATGTGTATTACGAATTCAGTATGTGTGTGAATACACCGCTTGTAAACCGTATCGGGTGTGTTCGCAAAAGCATTCATAAGGCAACACCGTCAGCACAATGCTCTAATTTGCATATGCAAATCCAAAGGGGTACGGGGTAAAGGGTAGGTGCGCACACATTTTTACAGGCTTCCCCGTAGCAATCTTGAGTACTTGACCTTTAGCGTTGATTAAAGTCATGATGTATACAGCTGGTAAATGTTATGGGTGACACAGACTCGTGCATAATTACCATTTCTAAAGACTGAGTAGATTACAGAAAGGGGTGGGGGCCTTTCAGAAGGTTGACAGCTAAGAAAGTCTTAGCAATACCTGCTATTTGGCACGATCTGACCTGAAACCTCAAACAAACTATATAAATACAACAAACAACATGCATTCTAACCGATGTAATTCAAGTATAATAAGAAATACACAGGGGAAGAGCTTAGATACCGATAAGAAAAAAACAACTTGTTTCAAAAAGATGTGAATGAAATCATGTCATTTGCAGAACGGGTTTTGAAATTAGAGATGTTTCGCTTCCAAAAAGGAGATAAATGAGAGACAGGAGCGCCATTACCAAATATTTGAGGGGTTATCATAGCGAAGAAGAACTGGATTTATTCCTTTATGCAAAAAAAAAAAAAAAAAAGAAAAAAAGGCAGTAGGATGGAGAAAAGTGGGCAACTCTACAAATAAATTTTAGGCTAAAATGACGAAAGATACTTTCGGCCGCCTATTTTTGGGCAACTCCGGCAACCTTCGCCAGGGTCACGTGATCTGTCCTTGTGGCGAGGGGTTTGCAGAATCTTAACATCAAGAAGAATTGTAAAGACCGGCTAATTTACCGCCCTCGTCCAAAGCGTCAGTGCTTTGACTAACATTTAGTCCATGAATAGCAGAGAGTGAATTTCTCAGTCTAGAGCCATTAATAACAGACCAATGAGTTATTCCAGGTTCCTCAAATACTAAGGCTATTTCAGGACGGTACCTTTCATTTGCTCTCACTCTGTCTCTTCCTTTCTTCCAGGTGTACGCAGGTTTTGGAGAAGCTTTGGGCTTGCACTCAATGACCACTTCACCTCCCACTTTGACGAGAGTTACTTTTTTTAAGAGGGTTCTGGAAAAATCCGGACCCACAGCTGGAAGAGAAGATAGAAAAGAATTATTTTGGGAGATTTCTTTCTGTAATGTGCTGGGGCATCAAAGGGAGGAAGTTAAATGTTTTCTAAGGTAAAGGGAGGAGCACCCTAAGTTTCGATAGATTTATTAAAATTTGAGGTGTCATTTATACGCGGTAAAATGCACCAGGTGTAAGTATACAGCGTGATGAATTTGGTGTGCTCCACCATGAAGACCAAGGTATGGAACATTCCATCACCCTACTGAGGGCTTCTTTAAAAAATTTCACGCTCAATCGAACAAAAACTCATGGGTCCCAGAGCGAATCACGCCTGAAACCTCGCTGGAGGCCGAAATGACAACACTGTCCCTCTCGGGCGTATCACGAGGAGGCAGGGTTCCTCGGAAAAGACAATAATGCTGCGAAAAGTAGAAAGCAGGAGGAAAAGAGGAAGAGCTGGATGGACGGATTTCCACGCGGGAGTCTGCAGGAGTGAGCAGGACAGGACGCCACGAACGCCACTCATTTATAAGGTCGCCAGGAGTCGGAGCCGACTCAGTGGCATGTAACACACGATCGGAATGGGAAGACAAAACAGGAAAACCCATGAGGCATCTTTCGGATGGCGTAGGTGAACGCGTCCCCTCTATCCCCCAGCGCTCCGTACGCGTCGCCGTCAGAGGACGTGCTGAGACGTCCCTGTCACCAGCCTCGGAGCTTCTCCTGAACAGCCACGGCTTTGTTCGGCTTCCCACCGCGGCTGCCTCATGCGAGGCGAGGCTCGCTCACGAGAAACTGGGGACTCGCTCCCCATAAACTACTCCAAGCTCACCGCCAGTGTTCTAAAAAATCCACTCCTGCTGACACCAAATGTATAGCGTTGTGGAAATAATAGCATAGAATTATTTCTTTTCTAAAACAAAAGATACATATCCGTACCCTTGCGAAAGGAATATCGAAGCGGGCTTTCTGAAAACTCTCCCTTTTTCTTGTGAGTTAAATGAACGAGTGCGTTCTGGGGCCTGCCACAAGCAGACATTCGAGCCTCAGAATGCGCATGCTACCGTATTTAAAATCCCCGACTCCCTACAGTTTGTCCTGCTGGAATTTAAGATTTCAGACCATGTTGAGTATCACATTTAAATATTAACCACAGAGAGAGAGAGAGAGAGAGAGGAGAGAGTGGGGGGGGAAGAGAGAGAGAATAATGGTATTATGGTTATGCTGAAATCATAGTCCTTTACTTTTAGAGATACAAAAGGAGATATTTACAGATGAAATAAAGTGGTGTCTGGAACTTGCTTCAAGTTCCCAGGGTAGAGGAAGTGGGTAGGAATATAAATGAGGCACA